GGCTGGGACCCTTCACTCAGTATCTTTCCTATTCCTTGATTTGCTTCTTTAGAAAATCAGCAGGTGTTTCCTTAGCACCTACTATGTGCCAGATACGGCACCTACTGTGTGCTGGTTGGAGGAATGCGCTGGTCATGATGCCTGAAGAGGTGTGAGGGATGGCAGCCATCCTTTGTCCTGTGGTGACGGTGGCTTAGCTGGGGCTGGTAGTTATCTACGGGATCACTCTTGTATCGTAATGGTTTTTGGACCTGGAATGCTCTGGAAAATACAGCTGTCTAGCTGAGCCCCATCTTTTGGAAAAACACTCAGAATTTCTAAATAAGCCCGGATGTGGCAATTTCTAGAAGCCCAGGGAATGGTGGCGATGGCTTGGGTGCCTAACTCGTGTCTCGGAGGAGAATTTCTCCTCCTCCCTCTCAGTCCCACTTTAGAACGCCTGAAGCTCTGGTCACGGCCCAGGGTGACTTGCTCTGCCTGTTCCTTCTCCCTCGTTGCTCAGCAAATGATTCTTCCAGAATGCACAGAAGTCATTTTTGTGGCAACACATTCTGTTGCACGATGCTCATTCACTGAACGGGCCCTCGGTGGCCTGAGAGAGAGCCCTGCTCGGAGCCTCGGCCGCCTTCTGAAATTGGATTTGAGGCCGCGGGGCTGGGGCTGGGGTGAGGGCATCAGTGTTGGATCATTTCCTCCCCCCTGTCCTCCTTGGGGTCCTCCTCTCCCTGGGTCGCCCCCTGTGCTCTGGCGGATTGCAGACTGTCACCTTGGGGGGGTCGATAAACCTGCAAACGGGGTAAATAAACACGCTGCTTCCGCGAGGATGGATGTCATCATCATCATCTGGATTCACAGCCCTCGTCGCCGGCACCTTGAACTGCTTTTGGGGAAAAGGCTTCCGTGTAGCATCCATCAACTTTCCGTGTCCCCATCCTCCCCGTCCCCTGTGCACCCCCCTGAGTCATTTAAATACCAACACAACACGGATGGGGGACATGATTCTTCTCTCCGGAAGGGAATGCGTCTTGACAGATGTTTTCTTTGGGGACAGTTATTTATAGCAGCAAGAGCTCTCCTACAACAGGGCACCGTGGCTTCCTCCTCCTCCTTCTCATTTCTCTAAAATGGAACATATTTTTGTTTTCCTGGTGGGAAAAACTGCCAGATCAATGATTTACACCTCTCTCTCTCTCTCTCTCTCTCTCTCTCTCTCCATATTCTCTTCTGCCTCTTTCACCTTCTGAACAGTCTCTGGATTCTCCCAGAATATAATCCAGGTATTGCCACCAACTTTTGTGTCTCAAACCAGATCGCTCAACTTCCCGGAGCCTCTGGCCGCCCACAGGGCTGTGCTTGGTGCCCCCGCCACCCCCCAACCTTGTGGCCAATTTCTAAGGGAGACTTGAAGGAGGGCTTTTGTGTCTGTTCCCTACTTTCCAGCCCTCCCCTGCCTGCGGGATGAGCTCTTGGGAGCAGAGGCTATAATCAGAGGGACACCTTCCCCTCCTTGGCCCACTCCCTGCCCTGTGATCTCCATCTCAGACAAAGATATACCATCCCCCCCAAACTGCCTGGCCCAGGACCTCGGGTTCCTCTTGGCTCTTTTGTCTTCCTGTCCCCCCCCCCCCCACATCTCGTGGGCTCTTCCTCCCTCCCTGTGGTAGTGAAGGGACCGGGCAGCGCAGCCTGTGCCTGCAGATTCTGTTGCTAAGGAAACCACTTCCTTGGTTACCAGCCTGGGTACCATTTGTCTCACTGCGTCTGCATCCCGCCAAGTCGCCCCTGCTCCCCAGGATGAGAGGACGGCAGGGGTGGGGGAGAGCCCAGGATCCAGAGGCAGGGTGTAGAGACAGAGATGGAGAGGAGACCACGGGGACAAGGCGATGGGAGGGCGGGGGAGGAAAGAGCCAGAGAGAGAGAGAGCGGGGGGAGGAGGAGGGCAAAGAAGGGGGGGAAGGAACCAGAGGAGGGGAGGGGGAGCGGAGCCAGGCCCCCAGAAGGAGGAGGGGTCCGCACAGGACCTTTCCCCAGTATCTCTATCCTCTCTCCCCTCCCACATGTCCCCTGGAGACATTCACAGTGACCTCCAGGGCTCCTAGAGAATCTGGAGTAGAGGGCAGCTCTCAGCCGCTGTGGGGCCTGGGCGTCCCTGCACCGAGGACCACTGGGATCTGCAGCTTTTCTTCCTCCATGGACACAGGGGGACTGTCACTTTCTGCAAACGGGATGGGCTTTGAGGCCCTTGAAGGAGAGGCCAGCAGCTGAGTTCTGTGCTCAGGCCAGTGACCACACGAGCCTCCATGTCCCCAGAAAAGGGAGTTGATCTCCGCTCTGAGCAGCTCAGGGTCGATGAAGAGCCTCCCACGTCCTCCCCTTCTCTGTCCAGGAGCATCTTCCCGAAGCTGTCTGGCCCCGTACACGTATCCGCTCGGGACCTGGTTAAGTGGGAGCTCTGCAGGGATGGGGGGTCTGCCTGTGGGTCCCTAGAATCAGGACCAAGGTCCTTCCCAGGCTGGCCATAAAGATCTATGCCAGGGGGCTGCCAAGGAGGTGGCAAAGGCAGACACTGGACAGAGCAGGGCGCCAGCCTGTCCATCTCACCCGGCCCCTGGCCCCCAGCTCCTCCCACCTTCCGGTCGTTCACCATGAAGGGGAGGGGGAGCGGGATGTGGCACAGGATCTGTGAGGTCCCGGGGGAGAATCCAGGACAGCTGGGTGCTCCGTGGCGTCCCTGGTTTCTGGCTGGGAGAAACGGGCAGCATAGGGGGTGGGAGGGGAATTGGCCGCACACGGGTTCTGGGATCAAGCCTGGGACCAGGGCCAACGCTTGGTCTGAGATCAGGCCAGAGCTCAGAGTGACCAAGGTCAGGACTCCTCCAGGACCAGGACCGGGGTTGAGGTTGTGGCCGGAATCGGAGCTCAGGTGACAGAGATCAGGGCTCAGTCAGGAGACACTGTCAGCCCTGGTTCTGGGCAGACGACCCAGGTTGGAGTGAAGTCAATGACCAGGGTCAGGGTTTGGTATGGTTAGGGTCAGACTCCGTGTGGAGTGTGGACAAGGGATCAGTAGGAGACCCAGATCATGGATCAGCACGTGCCCAGGATCAGGGCTCAGTCTGTGAGCAGGGTTTAGCCATGAGCCAGGTTCCGGGGTGTTGGATTGGGTTCTGTCTGTGACCAGGTCAGACTTGGCTTAACAACAGGGTCCCAGGGTAGCCTGGGGCACAGATCAGAGCACAGAATGGTGTCCAGGAGCCAGGACCAAGCCCTGAGGAGAGGGACACTGCCCTCAGCTCTGAGCAACCTCACGCCGCGTCCCGGAGCTCTGTCTTCCCCGCCCTATCTATCTCAGTGACCTCAGGATTAGACACCAACCCTTGCCCCAGATATTCTGTCACTGTGTCTACCTGTCTCTGTCACACACACACACACACACACACACACACACACCCCAAGCAAACATCCCATCTATGAACACAACACTCTGCCACGTGGTAGAATTATCAACAAAACTCTCATTTAATGATAGTGTTGACCTGAGGAATCTTCAGACAGAGGCGGGTGGTCCAAGGTGACCACCGGCAAAGAGCTGGTCCAGGTCTTGGACCGAATCTCCCAGAGACAGCTGCCCTCCAAGTGGGAGCGGAGGCTAAGTCCGCTGCTGCTTCGTGAAAGAACACTAGAAATTCGCCCCCTGGCCCGGCCCTGGGGTGGCCCAGATCCTACAGTCGTGGGAACCAGAGAAGGGAATCAGGTGCGACTCCTGTGCCCTCTCTCTGCGTGGCCAGGGTCCAGGGGGCGGAATGTATTCGTCATAGACCTCTTAAAAAAATATATCTCTTTTCACTTGCCTTCCCCAGGCCCCTTTGCTGTTTGGAACGAGCTTCGACTTCAGAGGGGCGGCTCAGGGGGGCCGCCCTGGACAGGATGGCGAAGAGGCAGTGACCTATGGCTTTTGCATGGACGTCGTGGGAGGGTCCTGTGGACAGGATGTAAAGCCGAAGGATCCAACCTGGGGGGCGGGAGGGGATCTCGGGTCAATGAATGATCAGTGACTCAGGTCCTCAGAAATCCTTTGGTTTGGTGTCAAGAGAGCAGCGGAGGGTGGAGATGATGGGTCATTCTGACCCCTTCCTCGGAGGATCCCGGGGGAGGCGGGTCGACTGGGCTGTGGTCAAGGGGAGGCCGGTGCCTGGGAAGGAGGGGCATCTCTTCCAGGCGGGGTTCCTTCTGATCTGGAGCCCCCTGGGGCTCTCACCTGGATAGCACGGGACCCACTGGTAGGGGTCACAAGGGCAGTGTAAGATCAAGGTGTGAGACCCCCCACCTTGGGTCACTGGGTCTTCTGTCGGGTACCTGGGGAGCCCTGGGAATGGGATCCAGGACTCCGAGTTCACCTCCTAGACAGGGTGCTGGGCAGGGAGGGAGGAGAGGAGGTGCGACTCCAGCCCTGGTGGGGGACGGGCCACAGTGTGACCTGCCTGGGGTGCGCTCAGGAAGCCGGTGACCCTGCCTGGGGTGCCCATTCTGCTTGAGCACGGGCTCTCCTCCACCTACCCAGACCCCAGACATCTAAGGCCTCCGGGACGCGGCCAGCTGTCTTTCTCCCAAACAGGAGGTGACCTGAGCCATGTCACAGCAAGTGCTTCCTGAAGAAAGCGAGGCTCTGCCCCGTGAGCCATCCGGGCAAGGACCCAATCAGCGGGCACTCGGGGGAGGACACTTAGCTCATCTCCACGACAACGGTGAACCCTGCAGCCCACCAGTGCAACCCGGAGTGGTGGGCGCAGGGACACGGGGGACACAAGACGCTGGTGCCTGTGACCAGAACTCCCCAAGCCAGGTAGCCCGCATCTCCAAGAGGGAAGGGGCGGGTGCAGAGGGCGCGGGGACCTGGACAGTCGGTTCCCTCGAGCCTCCTCTGTCATGCAGGAGGCTCGCCGAGGGCAAGCAGCGGCCGCCACGGGGGCGGTCCCCAACCTGAGAGGCCAGGTGGGTGGGCGTGGCCAGGCCGCCGCCCTCCCCGCGCCCCATCATCTCGGGTAGTAGTCGTCGGGGACGCCCGTGAGGTTGCGGCCCTTGAGCGCCGCGTCCACCATCTTGATGTAGGCCGAGATGCTGCGCTGCATGTCGGCCGTGTAGGGGTCGAACTCGAGCTTGCGCAGTCCCGAGCGCTTGAAGTTGCCGTCCTTCTGGCTCTCCACGCACAGCAGCCGGTCCTCCCGCACCGCCACGCCCAGCAGGCGCACCATGCGGCCCAGCTGCACGAACAGGTCCTGCTTCAGGTCCTCGAAGTGCACCACCAGCACCTTCTTGCCGAACTTGAGCCAGTCCAGCGTGTGGGTGGCCCACCAGGGGGCGTAGTTGCGCACGAACTCCGGCCACTCTGCGGAGAGGAGGAGCCAGCGGTCAGGCAGGACCCGGGGCAGAGCGGCCTTTGACCTCGCTGGCCGCGCCCCCGCCTCGGCCTGGGCCTGGCACCGCCTCTGGCCCTCCTCGCGGAGGAAGGTGGCACCACTTGGTGTCACCACGGGCCAGGCACAGCCCCAGGTATAAACCTGGGTAACTACGGCATAGAAAGATAACGTAAGAGACACACGACACAGAAATACACAATCATAGATGACAGAAAATGCGCATTACACTACATATATGAATATAGAAAATATGATAGGAAATTTGTAAATTGTGTACACTACATAATTATACAAGATTAATATATAATATATGTGATATATGCATATTTTATACATATACATGCATATTTATATATCATATTAAATTACATAGAAGTATACTACATATGATATACATATACATGTGATATATGTGACATATGTAATATATAAATAACCGTGTATCACATATAAAGAATATATTTATAATATAGAATCAAATGCATTAATAAATTATCTAGAACTTATATTAACATGTCAATTATGTATTATGGTGTATACCTACAATCATATATACATATATTTTGGGGGGGATACAGGAGATTGAACCCAGGGGCACTCAGCCACTGAGCCACATCCCCAGCCCTATTTTGCATTTTATTTTGAGACAGGGTCTCACTGAGTTGCTTAGTACCTCTCTAAGTTGCTGAGGCTGGCTCCGGAGTAGCTGGGATTACAGGCGTGAACCACCATGCCCGGCTATAATTGTATTTTCATAGCTATGCTAATATAGCTAGTAACTCCACGTAATCCTCCCAACCTTATGGGGTTGGACATCATCATTTTCATTCAAAAGGAGAGGAAACTGAGGCACAGAGAGGTTAAGTAGTTTGCTCAGGGTCACTCAGCTAATAACCAGCAGAGCCAGGTCTGAGCTCAGGCAATCTGGCTTCAAGTTCTGGGCTTTTAACGGCGGCTGACGTGTCCCATGTGGCCCGAGCCCCTACTCGGAGGGTAATAATGGGGCTGTTGTACAGAGGAAGTAGGAAGCGCATGCAGCCGTGGGCATGGAGGATCGAACCAGCTGTGACTGCTACCCTGTTCTCTTCTCAGGTGAGAGGAGGATGCTGGGAACAGAGAAAAGGAACTTCCACCTCAACTCTGAGCCCAGCTGGAAAACCACAGGGCAGGTGCTCTGAAGTTCCAAACAGGCACTACTGCTTCCTGTGGGCTCAGTGCCACCCAGCACCTCCCTGGGGGAATGTGTGTGAGGACATTTATTATTAGTTCTTCAACTAAATCCGAATCTCCTGCTGGGTGATGGCTACCCATTGTCTCATTTAACCCTAACAACTACCCTGAAATCAGGACTCCTGTTCATTCACCACCAGGGAGGAGACTGAGGCTCAGAGAGGTGAAGCGACTTGCTCAAGGTCACACAGCAAAGAAGCACCATCCAGATCAAGCCTGCCTGATTCCAGCCCCTGCTCTTTCCCAGGCACCCGCAGCCTCACCCTAGATACCTCCCGGGGCCTGGGACTCAGCAGGGGCCCAAGTGAATGACTGTTGAACTAAATTGAAATCCGAAAACCACACTCACAACGTGATAAAGGGCTCCTTTTCCTTTGCAGAACACATGGGAGTTTGTGGAAGACTCCTGCGCCCCCGTCCCCTCCTGGGGTCCCACGGCTGTTTGAGAAATATTTATGGTGGTGATGGGAGAGTTTTTATTCTTAAAATAAATCATTTACAATGTCTCTGGCTAATTGGGCCCGTACTGTTACAATGGTTAAGGCCAGATGCAGCTGGTGATTAAGGAGGATCCAGTGGTGGCAGGGTCTGCTTTGCTTTCCCAGAATCTCCCCACTCCTGAGTCACCTCCAAGCACCCCTGGTGATTCAGGACAGCTGCTGTGGTCACCGGAGGTGACTGCGAGGTGACTGTTATGCCACCCAGCACCCCCCACACCCTCACTTCTAGACCCTGTCACCTCTGACCACCCTGAGAGATGCCAAGGGGTGGGGGTGGGGTTGAGGGTGGCCCTGGAGAAAAAGGAGGGGCTGGTCTGCATGGTGGCGGGTCCCTCAGGCAGCCCGGGTGCCCAGGCCTTGGATGCAGCGGGACAGAGAGGACATTCTGTTCTTGCTGATTGCAAACTTCTGGGGGAGACCAGGCTCCTCTGTCCCCAGTGTAAGCTGGGAATGGACATGCTGGAGCCTCTGGGGACGTCAGGGGCTACACGGGGCACCTTGCCCAATCTCACCCTGTCTCTCTAGCGGCCTGCGGAGTAGGAATGGCTAGCCCCACCTGAGACCCAGGCAAAGGATGCTCAGAGACGTGAGGCGATTTGAATCCAAGGCAGGATTCAACCCACGTCAACCCCAGGCTGCACCTGGCTCCAGCTTCCACACCAACCCTGGAAGAGGACCTGGTGTGACGGGCTGTGGCCTTCCTTTTTTGTGCTGGGTCCCGGGCAGCTGTCTTCTACTCCACCCTCTGGGCCCTTAGCTTCAGCCTGTCCCCTAGGACACGGGGTCTATTCATAGGTGACTTTGTGATCGGGTGGCCGGGGGCTCCACACGCAGTTCCTCTCCACCTGAGCCGGGTGACCTTGAGGATATTATTAGATCTCCTTGAGGCCCATCTGCAAATCAGCAGTCCAGATAAGGCCCCCCTCCTACAGACGTGGTGCAGATTGGGTGGAGTAAGGTCTGCAAAGGTCCCAGCACAACATCTGGGGCTCAGGAGGTGCTCCGTAAGCGTTGGTCATCTGAGCTGATGCTGGTCCCCCCCAGCATCTCTTGAGACCCCCCGCAATGCCCCGCCATGTGGGTCTGAGCCTCCCTCCCAAAGCTCAGCACATAGCCACGCTGTTTCTGCCACACATCTGTCCTCTGCACCCCCTCCTGTGGCCAAGCTCCCAAGTGACTTCACTGGGAAAAAGAAGAAAATTAAAACCCAAAGTCCTCAATTAACTCAGGATTCCTGGTCATTGATCACCGCCTGCAGATCTGGTAACAAAGGCACACTGAGCCACCCGGCCCCCCTCACGACTGCGGGTTCCACCAGAATCCCCGCCCAGGTGCGCCTGCCCATCTTACTGTCCACGGAGGAACCAGCCCTGATGGATGGCTTCCTCTACCTAGTTCCCCCTGGAATCATTAAACACAGTCTCTGTTTCATTAAGCAGATCCAGGACAATTCACCTTGTGTAATCAGATCACATAAAATTTTACTTTGGACTCGCTCCAGGGAGGTTGTAAAATTAATGTTGTGGAACCAAAGGGGGGGGGGGGGGTAGGGGCCTCAGTCCAGCCATAATTGGGAGGGGGGCGGGGGGGCAGGTGGGATGGGCCTACACAACAGCTGGGTGGCCTCTGCTTTTAAGGAGGGACCCTCCCCTCCCACACCGAGCGCATCCTAAAGCAGCAATTCTCAAACTTCCAACTGAGCTCAAAGCACTTGGGAATCTTGTTAAAATGCAGATTCGGATCCCCTAAGACGAGGCTGGGGCCTGCCTGAGACTAGTCGGTAACTCTCCTGGGTGGTGTAGGTGCTGGTTGTCCGCGGCCGCACTTTGAGTAGGAGAGGTGCCTAAGCCTGAGTTCACATCGGTAACTCCTGGAGGGCGGGGTCAACTTCGGAGGGCGGGGTCAACTTCAGAGGGCGGGGCCATATGTAGGGGCGGGGCCAACTGCCCAGGGCGGGGCCCACAACTGCAGAGGGCGGGGCCCACTCCCAGAGTTTCAGATCCAGGAGCAGTTGGGCGGAGCCTGAGAATTTGCATATCTAAGGAGCTCCCTGGCCAAGCTGTTGCTGCTGCGCAGACTCAAGAGCAAGGGTCTCAAACTCTGGATCCAGGGCAGAAGAGGAATCCGCAGGGTGGGGCCTGGGAGCACTGCGCTTTGAGGGGCTCTTTGCTTGAAGATCGGGGTCAGGCCTGGGAGGGGATGTTGGGACTGATGTGGGACCCTAGGCTGATAGGAGATGAGTGTGGAGGACCCCTGTCCACCACAGCCTCTAGGTTCAGCCTGTCGCAATTCCTTCCTTAGCGGTGATTTAAAGGTCCCAGCTGTTTTCAATTAGGAAAGAGAGGCGCGGTGGCTTCTGGGAATTAGGGACTTGTCTGAAGCTAAGGTGGGTGGGTGGGCGGGTAACCGGGAGAGGAGGACCTCTGGATGCACCAGGAGGCCAGCAACGTCCCTGGGGGGAGCGGAGCCTGGTGGGCAGGGCCTGGTTTGAATTCCGCTCGTCTGGGGCTTTAGCCAGGTGACGTGGCCCACCTGCGTGATGACAAGAGCCCTTGTCCCTTCCCGGGTTCCTGGAGGGTTTAGATGAGACAGCAAATGCTCAGGGCCCTGGGGCTTCTCTTGATAGCCCCCACCCCCACCCCCGTGGCCTGGGAGTGAGGGCGGTCTGAGCCACAGAGCTGCCCTCTGGGGCCAGTCCTGACACTGTGTCCCAGGGACTGGCCTCGGTCTCCCTGTTAATAACAGAGAACCCAGGGTTGTCAGCCCCCTGCTCTCCGGAAGGAACTGAGAAGCTTTCAAATAGGCTGATGTCTCTGCTGCACCCGGGTGACGCTCAGGGCTGCAGCCTGGGCACTGGGATCCTCCCAGTTCCTCTGGGGGTTCCGACGGGCAGCCCAGGCTGCTCACCAGGGCTCCCGTGATCTCCCCCATCTGCCCCGGCTCTGGCAAGCAGGGGCCGTCCCCTGGGGCCCGCTACTGCCACGTGCACCCACAGACATCTCAGTCGCCCTGGGACCAGGGTTCACTCCCAACGGTCAGGCAGTTAAATAATTCAGAGGCCTCTTTTCTCCTGGGGACGAGTGAACACACGTCACCACTGTCCAGCTTCTAGCCCTCACCGACAGGGGGAGTGGGGCTGGGAGAGGGACACGCCAGCCCCCGGGGGGTGGGTAGCTGGGAACTTAGGGGCACAGCTGGTCAGGCAGGCCAAGGCTTTGCACGGAGACCACGTGGAGGAGGGAGCTGCCGACCCCGTGCTCTGCTCTGCTCTGTGGGGAGGGGCTGGGCTGGCCGCTGCCTGGTTCCTGGAGGCTGGACCAGGGGCCAGCTCCCATCAGCTCACAGTCACAGAGAACCTGTGGGTGTCAGCGGCTCTGGGCCAGGTGGCTCACAGCCACCAACAGCTCACTGACCGGGGCTCCATTCTAGATTGGAAATATTGCAGGTAACACACTTAGTCCCCTGACCCACCAGACCTGCCAGCTCAGCCCGCAGCCAGGCACAACCATCTACGTGAAGCCTGCCTTAGAACGCACTGTTGACCGTCTCACATAATTTACCAAATACTCTAAGGAAACAGAAAGACAGACTCGAGCCCTCGGATCTCAGGCCATCGTAAGTCAAACCATCGTAAGTTGAGGACCATCTGTGGTCCATTATCGAGGTGCAGGGCCCGAAGGCCGGAGCCCAGAGGGGCTCCAGAACCTGATCATCTGGTCTCACTGCGACTCTGAACTCACCGACGGGGGACCCCCCCATTCCCTCTCCCTCTGGGAAGCTCCCTGCCCTCTCTGAACTTGGATCACCTCAGCTATAAAATGGGGGATCATTGTTGTAGGGGTTGAAGGAGGTCAACTCTCAGTAAGGCTCAGTAGCAGTGACTATGGTGACAGGGATTATCACACTGTCAGTCTGGAGTTTTAAGACCTGGAAGTGTTGGAGACACTCAAGATGGCAGCAGTTGGGTCTGACTTCCAATCTCAGGCCACTGTCGGGGCTGGGCGGCTCTCTTTGCTGAGATGTTCAGCCACACAGCCACACAGCCCTGTCATCTACCAGTAGATCATCTTGGGGGTCAGCACTTCTTTCCCAGCTGTGTGACCTGAGGAGAGTCACTTAACCTCTCTGAGCCTCCCAACATTGGACTGTTGGGAGAATTCATGAAATGATGCTCTCAGAACCTGGGCTCTTAAGAGCTCATGGCCTGAGCCCCACCCCAGCCCTATTTTGTATTTTACTTAGAGAGGAGTCTCCCTGAGTTGGTTGCTTAGCACCTCGATTTTGCTGAGGCTGGCTTTGAACTCGCCATCCTCCTGCCTTAGCCTCCGAGGCACTGGGATGAGAGGTGTGAGCCAGGGCACCAGGCCCAGACCACGATTTAATGGCCCCTTTGCAGAGGTGCAGCCTGAGTTCGGGGTGGTCAAGGAGCTCTCCAGGAACGGGTAGCGCTGGGACTTCCGCCCAGGAGGCCGGCTGCAGAGGCCGGCCCTGTCCTACTGTGCCGGGCTGGTGGAGGCCGACGCTGGGGGTGTGGTGGTCGGTGGGTGGCAGAGCAGCTTGGCTCTGTGCACTCGGGGACAGCAGCAGGACACTGGGCTCTTAGGAACGTCCTTCTGGGGTCCGTGCACAGGAGACCACCCGCCCGCGTCCCAGACCCCGGCCCCGCTGCGCGCCCGGCCTCACCTTTGCCCTTCCAGTGCGCGTGGGCGGCAAAGCCGATGTGGCCTCCGTACTTGCGGTTGAACTCGGCCATGAGCGCCTTGTAGGGGTTGCGGATGAGCAGGATGGCGGCGTCGAAGGCCTCGATCTCCTTCTGGCCGCTCTCGTGCGTCTTGATGCAGATGGTCCTCCCGCTGCGCCAGTGGTCGCGCTCGCCCTTGAACCCTGGGCGGAGGCCAGAGGTTGGGGCCGGGGAGCCCAGCCAAAGCCCCCCACCCGCCTCTGCGCTCCCCGCGCATCCTCGCCCTCCATCCCTTCGCGCAGCCACCTGCTCCTGCAATTCTGGAGCACCTACTATGTGCCAGGCTCTGCCATAGCAGCCGCTATTGGCAGGGTCTTCGCTGCCTGCACCCAACTGCCAACATGAGCTCCCCGGGAAGCCCCCAGTGAATGGGCGGGTCATTCAAAACCTCAGCTGACTGTGACCAGCCACCATCGGCCTTTCTCAGGGGGGACTGAGACATCTGATAAAAAGGCCTGTTGTCCCAACGACTGGGGAGGCTGAGGCAGGAGGATCGCAAGTTCAAGGCCAGCCTCAGCAACAGTGAGGCCCTGAGCCACTCAGGGAGACCCTGTCTGTAAATAAAATACGAAATAGGGCTGGGGATGGGGCTCAGGGGTCCAGTGCCCCTGGGTTCATTCCCTGGTACCAAACAAACAACAAAAAGACCAGCTCCAGGTGGACGCGTTGACAGGGAGGGTTTATATTTCCTTTTAAGTCTTTTTTATTTTTTAAAAGTTACAATTTTAGTAGACACCTTGCCCCATGAGTTGCTCTTCCTGCGATTCTAGAATATAAAAGTAGGGAGACTGGGGTCAGTCTAAACATACCGAGCCCTGGACGCTCCCAAGATCCTGATGAGCAGACTGGGGTCAGCCTGACCTTGGACTTGAAAGGCCCCTGGTGATTCCCAGGTCGTCAGAGATCACCTGTCACTGGTCATTTGGAAGACAATGTAGGTTCCATACCAAGCCTCACACCTCTTATCTCACAAGCCTGTGGGCTCACTTTTGGAAAATCTGGGTCCAGTACTGACTGCCCCATCTTCCAGATGAGAAAGTTAAGACTCTGAGAGGTCGAGACTCTTGCCCCAAATCTCACTGCTGAGAAGCCTCCGGTGGAACTTTCAGACGGAAAGTTGGAGGCTCTGACTCTGCCTAGGGATTCAGTGTCCCTCTCCCTGAGGTCAGGAGGCTGTGGGATCACGAGCCCTGGGCACACAGACCACGGTGCACCCGGAAAGTCGAGCTTTCCACAGGCAGATCCACGAGGCGGTCACTGTGTTTCTGAGGGAGAATAGAATCCTCCTCGTCACACCACCCTGAAGCAGGGGCCGTTGGAAAGGGCGCAGGAGATCAAGCCACTGTGGATCCTTGGCCTCAATGATCCTGAGGGAGGGTTAGGTTGTGGCTGAGCCGTGGGTTCCTCTGAGCCTTTCCCCTCTGGCCACTGCTCCAGAATTTGCCTGGGCTCCTCCCAGAAACCTCCCTAAAAACAGGGCAGCCTGGGTGTAGGAGCACAGGGCCCGAGTTCAAATCCTGATGTGAGCCTTCATCACGGAGCCTGGCACATAACAGGCACTCAGCCAATGACAGCTGAAGTCCACCAGAGGCCAACGAATATGACCGAGCTGCGGTTCCAGGGCAGGCCCCGGCCTCCTGCCCTGCGACTCCAACCTCCCCAGTCTCTGCCTCCCCTCTGCTTCTCTCCCTGGAAAAGACATGCACCCGGAGATCTCCCCAGCTAGGGCTCAGGGATGTTTCCTCATCAGCCCCAAGCTGTGCTTGGCATCCAGACCATAATACTCATAGTCTGTTTACTATTGCTGAGCATGTTGCAAGTACCAACTTATTGCCTTTGACAACCTCACGAGGTAAGTATTGTTACCTCTTATTTGTATGTGGTCATGCAGGATCAGAGAGGTACAGTTACTTGCCCAAGGTCACACAGCCAAAAGAAACTCACTTCCCCAGTAAGATACCTAGGGATTTTTTGCCCATGTGATAGAGTAACAAGGATGTGGGCTTTGGAATCAGGAAAGGATAGGGCGTAACCCCTGGTGGACTGTGTGACTTTGGGCATGTTATTTCCTCTCTCCCAACCCAGGTTTGCTGTGCAGGGTTAGAACAGACCACACACCAGGCACAGGGGCCAGGAGAGCATCTGCGGTGCTCTGAACCTCCACGAGGAGCCTGGCACACGGTTGGCGCTCCGAGAGGGGCACTGCCGATGCTCCTCGTGGGGACCTTCCGGAGCCCAGAGAGCCTCCCCACTCGGTCTCCTCACCTTTATTGTACAGGGACCCGTCAAAGTAGTAGCTGCCAGTGTAGAAGCCGGTGGCCAGCTCGATGAGGTGACGGGCCCACGTGTTGCCGGCCCCTGGGAAGCTGGCCAGAGCAATCAGCTGCTTGGACCTGGCCGGGAGGAACCTTCTGTCCATGCAGCGATTGTCTGAAAAGAGTTGGGCACAGACAAGGGTCAGCGGCTGGGCAGGTCGGGCCTGTCCCAGGGGGACCAGGGTGTGAGTCTCAGCCCCCCACCCCACCCCACCTCCCACTTCTCAGCTCAGACTTTCATGGGCCTCGGTTTCTCCATCTGTAAAATGGGGCCACGGCTCTTCCCCAGGATCCAGGCAAGGATTAAATGAGATAGTGCAAGAAAAGGGACTAGCAGGTGCTCAGCACATAGTAGGGATCCAGGAAAGCCGCTGGGTGGGTGGAGCCTCTGCGCCCTCCGTTTCCCCCAGCAGAGCGAGCCCTTCGCCTTCTCCCCCAGCCTTTCCCCCAGCGGCCCCATCTACACGGGACCCAGCCCAAAGTTGTCACCTTGACTTCCAGGACCTGAGTGGCAGGCCTGGCCCCACCCAGGCGCCCTCCCGCCCGCCGCCAAGGCAGGCTCTGCTGGTCCCTCTCTGCTGCCTCCTGCCTGCTTGGTCCTTGGCTGTCACAGGACCTGGGACTTCGGTCCCCCCCACTGACTCCAGAAGCTGTCGTCACTGCAGCTTCAGGTCTGTGTCCTGCCTTCCCGGAACACAGTCACAGTGGCTCAACAAGAGCGACGCCCCATCGTGGGTGATTTTATCCTGGTGCGAACATCCGCGCGGACTTAGACCAACCGAGCCCGCCCCGCGCCTGCGCTCTGGGGCGCAGCCTGGTGTCCTGGGCTGCAGGCCCCGGTGGCGGCAGGTGACTGTCCTGAACACAGTGGGCAACTGTCACGCATAATGCGCCTTTGTGCATCAGGGCCTGTCGCCAACGGAGAAGGCACAGGACGAAACTACTAGGCCACAGGACCTGGTCACCTCCCTTACAACCTGAGGGGACTGTCAGAAACCCTCCCCGTAGATGACCTGTGGCTCCCCACGACCTTGGCAGATGCTCCCGTGGGCAGATGAACGGGCTTGTGGACGGGTGGACTGGTGGGCGGCAGCGGAGGGGACTGAGAAGAGGGACAGGCCCGCGGATGAGGACCGTGTCCACCCTGCAGGGTTTCCGTGCGGGTTAAATGACATGATGCAGGGAATCTGTCCCTGCTCTAAAGGGCTCCAACGGGGTTGCTCTTTCTTCACAGCCCTCAGTCCTCCCATCTGTAGGTTGGGTTGGCCGAGTGCCCTTCCGATGTCCTCCACCCTCTGGCCTCCCGAGGCCCTTGGGGGCCACTCCCCGCAGAGCTCATGGAAAATGGCCCGGGACCTCCCACCGCAGCCCTGAGGAGCCTCTGCGGCCCAGTGGCTTCTTCTGGTCCCCGCGTCTGGAAGGGAAGCCGCCCTGCAGCCCAGGACCACCGGCCTGCCACAGCCTCGGGTCCCCAGTTGTCGCGCCCCATTCCATGTCCTACCTGCTCTCAGCCCTCCTCCCACGGACCTGCTAAGGTCCCCAGAGACCGCGCAGCGCCACATCCAGCCCGAGCGCAGGTCCCTGGACTCCCCTGCAGCTGCAGATCCCTCTTCTCTCTGGTAATTCACCCCAAGATTTCCCCTGGGTCCCCGCTGTCCTGCATTAGCTGCAGCTTGTTGAAGCCCTACTGTGAGCCTTGCTGATTTATCGCGACAGCCTTTGGCAGGGTGGACGGGTCTGAAGTCTTCGATTTCAACCCCAATTCTGCCACTTGTTTCTTGGACCATCTTGAAGAAATGGTTCCACGGAGCCTCAGTTTCTGCAGCTGTAAAATGGACCCATGGACCACGCCCTCAGGGCCAGCCATGGTGGCTCTGAGCTGTGGCTGCGGGGTAGGGGCCACCTCCACATGGAAGCCAAGTGCTGACCTGAGAGCGGCTCTCACAGGATGCGCCGCTTCAAAAATCCCAAGGAAACAGCCCAGCGCAAGGCTTGCAACCGACTCCATGCGTGGGAAATGAGGGGGACCCGGGAAAGGGCAGGGGAGGGCTTGATAATGAAGTCAGCCCAGCACAAGGCCGACCGGCGGGCCGTCCCTGAGCACAGGCTGCTCCCTCGGGATCTTTGTTCTCGTTCCCGAGGTCTGACTTATTTTATATAATGATGGGCTGGGCGTTGGGGGGCCGGGAACTGGCTCCTTCCTTTCTTCTGAAAACAGAATGCTCCATTCAACCCTTCCTGGGAGATCAGGAACAACCCCGAGGACAAGACTCACTCTCCACGCTAAAGAGGAAGCAGATTGGGTTGCTCAGCCTCTGAAGTCAGGCAGAGTTTGCGGGGAACAGTGTTATTCAGCCCGAGGAGCAGAACGCCCTGGGTTTCCATCCTGGACCTTCATGACACTGAACTTGGCTCTTGGTCTCACCGAGCCTTAGCTTCTGCACTCATAAAACAGCTCATAAACCTCACGGGATTAAATAGGATGACGAATGTAAAAGATTCTCAATGTCTGTTGCAAAGCTGTTTTCAAACACTGCAGCCTTGGGACCCTGATCGCCTGGGTTTGAATCCCAACTCTGCTCTGTCTTAGCTGTGTGACTCTGACCAAGCTTCTCAACCTCTCTGTGTTATTATCTCATTTGTAAAAGGGTCATCACAGCCCTTAAGTCATTCAGCTGTTGGGAAGGTCAGGTAAGTGAAGGCAGGTAGAGGGTTCCTACGGTGCTGGCCACACAATCAGTGTTCAATAATGATCTAGTTCTCTTCAGGAGCATCAGAGCTGAGCATGCGCAGGTGCATGATGTATGGCAGGCTCTTGGCAGCCTGATGAGCCACTGAGGCTCAGACCTTCCCAGCCCGAGGGAACTGCCAGGCTGACAGGGAACAACTGAGAAGCAGCGATGGCCTGGGGGCAGGACACTGGGAATGAGCAAGCTCATCAATTAGAGACTCTGCTTCTGTTGTTGAAAAGACTCCAGCATCTATGTGGGCCACATCAAAGCGGCTCATGGTCACAGCACAATTAAGCTGTGCAGGATCCTCTCCTCTGACCGCAGAGATGCAGCTCCCAGACCAAGCAACACCCCCGCCACAAACACGCTCCTCCTTTTCGGGTGGAATGTACACAGCCCAGGGCCGCGCTGGCTCACGGCTTCCCCAGGACTTCAGCCACCACGGATCAGCCAGTTGGCCACTGCTGGGGCCCTCGGCCAAACAAGAGGCAACCCCTAGAGTACTTCTGTGCAAATCAGAAAAAGGAACTGTCCCTGTGCTGGGCTGATGTGCTGCCATCTGGGATGTGTGCACACAGGCCACCAGGCTGGCTCGTGGGCACTGTTTTTATCATAGGCCACACTTGTGCAGTACCCAACCTGCCCATCCACGCATGGCAACCTGGTTACTGGGAGGGGAGCAGGAGGAGGTGTTGTATCGACTCTCCACGTTTCAGAGGGGGTGGGGAGTGTTCTTCACACCCTGGGTAGAAGTTTCTAGCAAGAGCTCTGGAGGCCTGAAAGCAAATTGATTCCTTGGATGCATCATTGTGGCCAGTTCCCAACCCATCTGGGTCTCAGTCTCTCATCTGTAAAACTGCCCTGGTCGTTGGTGCGCTGGTGTCGTCTGTCACTGAGTGAGATAAGGCTCCCTCTGAGTCCAGGGCATGGCGGATGGGCAGGTGAAACTCAGGGGCTTCCTCTGGGCTCCAGCAAGGGATGCCCCTAGGAGCCACGCGCTGTTTGTGATGCCCCAGGAGACAGGGTCATAAATAGTGTGACTTCAGACAAATCCCTCAACCTGGGCCTCAGTTTCCCTCCCTGAAAGAGGGCACAAGACTGTCCCCACCACTGAGAACAGCTGAGAAGATCCAGGAAAAAGTGCACATGAAGGCATCTGTGCCGAATTTGGCACAGAGTAGAACTCAAGGTCTCCCCAGTGCTGCTGCTCACCACCACCATCACCACCATCATCACCACCACCACCACCATCACCACCATCACCACCACCATCACCACCACCACCACCATCACCACCACCATCACCATCACCACCACCAACACCATCACCATCATCATCAACATCACCACCATCACCATCACCAACACCATCACCATCATCATCACCACCACCATCACCACCATCATCACCACCACCACCATCATCACCACCATCACCACCACCATCACCATCACCATCACCA